GCAGCAGCAGGAGCAGTGGCAGTGGCAGTGGCAGTGGCAGTGGCAGTGGCAGTGGCAGCAGGAGCAGGAGCAGGAGCAGGAGCAGGAGCAGGAGCAGGAGCAGGAGCAGGAGCAGGAGCAGCAGCAGCAGCAGCAGCAGTAGCAGTAGTAGTAGTAGCAGTCGTCGTCGTAGTCGTAGTAGGAGCAGTAGGAGCAGCAGCAGCAGCAGCAGCAGCGGCAGCAGGAGGAGGAGGAGGAGGACGAGTAGTAGTAGTAGGAGTAGTAGTAGTAGTAGTAGTAGTAGTAGCGCAGCACCTTGCAATGGCAGCACAGCACAGCACAGCTCAGGAGAGCAATTCGTGAGCACCAGCAAACTCGTAAATTCCTGTTGTTTTGAAGTTGCTTCGGGTTGGTGTATGATGGTGTAGTCCAGGAGGGCCCAAGCACGCGAACCACGTCTGAGACGGAGTCTGTGTCCTTGCCGGGTGAGCGCAGGTGCATCTGCTGAAAAAATTACAGCCCTGCACTGCATCGAGCCAGGTCACTCAAACCGATTTTGTTCCGCGAGGAGCTCAAACCGCAAACAGTTTCTGTTGGCATGAACTGTGCACCGTTGTGAACACCGGGCAATGTAAAGAGAAACAACAGTTGAGGACGGACCTTCCCCTGCGTGGGAGGTGTCCGGAGAGTAGTTTCGATGCTGATGATTGAATACCATGGAGTACATAGAGTGTGCCAGTATGCCACAGTATCGGCTGTTGCACTCGAGTATCCTTCGATCATCAGCAGAAAGGCCGCTTCCCTTTTGCTGGTGGCATTTGGCCGCTTGAGGACGGCTTTTGCCCGGGTTCCTAAGGAACCTGAGCTTTTCACTCGTGGGTATGAAAATGAAGCAAATTACGAGCAGATCAGATTGTGGCCTTGCAGCCTCCAGCTTTGCCCAAGGCCAGGTGTAAACCGAGCTCATGATGACAATGCAGCCGCTGCACAAAGGCCATGTCTGATGTGCCTATAGCCCGACTGGCTCCGACATCTCAGAAGTGATGCTAGCATGCACACCTGCGCAAGGGTGCAGAGGCAAGGGTGTCACCTGGGAGGACGAGCCTCCTTCCGCCGTCGGCCGGTAGTTCAGAAAGAGTTTATGTCGTCTGCAACTTCAGCCGAAACTGTCGCTTTGTAAGCGAGCCAGGCCTTGAAAGCCACTAGTCAGTATCCCACTGTCCCACCAGGCAGTGAGGTCCTAGACCCAAGCAAGTCTGTCGGCATCGGTTCAGGCGATCTCTGAAATCCAGCCCTGAGAGAGGCCCTTGCGGTGAAGCTTTGGAGAGACCAGTCGGAGGCGGCAGGGCCCTTGTCTTTGTAGTTCCGACGTGTCCACGTTGGCTTGAACTTAAAGGCGGATGTTAAGCTCCTTGCTGCTGCCATGCAACGATATTGGCCCTTTCACGCCCGATACCTGTGACGGTTGCCACTTTTGGCATGCGAAACCACAAGCAACCCAATTGCGCTAAATTGGGATGGGACCGTCCGGAAAAATCGGACAGGGCGGCATGTGGGGTCGACAGTGCAGGCAGAATCTGGTAAATGGAATGGGGCCGATGTGGGGTACCAAGAAGGATGCAAGAACGCACAATTTCCCACCAAGTCTTGGCGTGCCATGCAGGCAGAGCTCCTGGCCGCCCGAGGCGATGCCAGGCAAATTCAGCATGGTTCGATTGCGGCCTTGGTCCTGGTTTGGTTCGGAGGTTCGATCATGAGACGGGATCGACTTGTGCACGAATGTGATTGCCAAGGCGCACAGCACCACAAGGGGTTGGTTTGCAGCATCGACTCTTCGCTACTCACTCTCCCTGGGTGCTAGCTGGCTTGGACATGCTGTCCCATACGGTTCAACATGCACATGCAGCATGTCACTAGAGCATGATCACTCCAGAGCTGTCGCGCGCTCCATCAAACAAGTCGAGGCATACTTCTCTCACGAACGTAGACTTTCCGCGCTTTGCGCACCTGCGTGGGCTTCAATGATATTCCGATGCGAGTTTTCGATTCGATCCCCTTGCTCGCCAGGCAGCTCCGCAACGTCTCCATCGAAGAGGGTCGGGAGGTTGGCCCAGATATGCAACAGCCGATAGTTTTCAAAGTTCTGGACGTTGAAGGTCAAGCTTGCTTTCAACTTCAATTCAGCAGACTGCACTGTCTGCGCTGTGAGGAATACTGGCACTGCTCAACTGCTGTCCGTTATGACATATGATCATGGTTGCACCGTTGATGCCTGCATTGACGGACTTCGTGGTGGCGTGTAGTATATTGAGTGGTAAGTAATAAGTTGTAAGTAAGTAAGTAAGTAAGTAAGTACGTAAGTAAGTAAGTAAGTAAGTAAGTAAGTAAGTAAGTAAGTAAGTAAGTGTATTTATAGATATACATATACATACACACACACATACATACATACATACATACATACATACATGCATACATACATATGGCGACTGCCTGCAAACTTTGTGATGTGGGCTGCATTGGTGGTATGATCCCTCGTACTCATTGTCGGCATGAGATTGTTCATCAGCCTGGAGGCCGACCGCCACCCATTCGAGGGCATCGGTGCCCTTAGTGCGGGTGCATCCTCGAGGCTTCTCCAGGACAGCTGGAGTTTAGAATTATAAGATTTTGTTGGCCACAGGAGGATGGATGTTTGATGAATTGAACCGTTGCCAAATGAGCTTGGCGCCCGGTTTGCGCCCATCTTGCTGTTGTTTTTATTGGTTGTTGCAGTAATCTATGCCAGTCCAACGAGGTAGGACCACAGCCTGGCACAAAGAGGTGTGCAAAGACTCCTGCAGACCGAAACGGTATCTGCAAACAACGGCTCCAAACTTTCGCAACGGCTTGCCGCCACGGTTCTGCAACATTTTCGCAAACAAATCTGCCCAAAAACACAGTGTTTTTGCTGTTTTTTGTTGCGAAACTAGCCTCAGAGCCCTGCCGCACAGCCGTTCTGCAAAAAGTCTGCACAAACAGAGTGTTTTTTGCAGATTCTTTTGCGACTCCAGCCCAGACGTTGGACCCCCAAGGTTTGCGCCAATGTGGCACCCACGGTTTGCAGCAGCTAGACCGATACACACTCGGGAGCTTGGTTTACAAGTTTTCCTTACATAGCTGGCATATTTCGTTTTAAATCAGAGACCCCTCCATACAGTAGGATGCATTAACACTTCAATTAGGTAAGGCCCCGGAAGCGTGCAATGTTTTCGCAAACCCTAGGCCTTAAATATTACCAGGTGCAGACACTGGCTGCAAAATATGCGCAAACATTCTGCTAAATAATTATTTCCAAGAATCCTATGCCGAGGCAGACTGAAAGTCTTATAATTCTAGAAGTGGTAACCCAGGACAGCACCAAAGTACGTTTGGAAGGGTTGCAGTTAATGACCAGTGGTCTTGGCTACCGTTTTGAGGAATTCAGTGCTGCCGACGGCGTCTGCCGAATCTTCTGTGTGTGCGACGTAGTCGCTGCTGTGCTGGTCGTGGAGAATATAGTTTGCCTGTTGAACCTGAGTCCAGGATTATCCGGCTGCGCAAAAGGAAGTGATCCTGGACTTGCTGTTCAAGCCACAGTAAGCCCTTATGCCGGTAAGAATTTGGGCGCAGTGAGATGGCTTTCAGTGGTGTTTGTTCAGTTCGAGCTGCATCGAAAGCTTGCTGTTGGTTTGCAGGTGTCCAAGAGCAGCACGATGTGTCATACAGCGTCTTAGTGTGAAGTCAAGACACTGTGAAATTGCGAACGTCACGGCAGTATGAGAAAGGCAGCTTCTGGACCCGAATTCAGGTACGGTGCTTCGCTCCAGATACTGAAGGTTGAAATCGGCGCGGACACGCAGCACCGGACCGAGCCGAGGAAAGGGATGGGTCCTGCGATGTCCGAGCCTTCTAGGAGAGTCTCACGGGTCGTTTATTCATGCGGTCGCACTCGATTGCTCAGGGGATTGCATTCTCAGACCCACTCCACTGTTATGAGCTTGAGTTATTCGTTTTTGGCTCGACCAGCTTTGCATTGTTCTCCTTAAAAACGTAAAGACGAAGAAGAAGAAGAAGGATATGTGTCGGAACGAAAAACTCGTTGTCACCATGCCGCGACGAGCTAGGCTTCGTGATTGTGCGGACGTGCCCGATGGCTTCTCCAGCAACGAACAGACTGTTTGTGACGGAGGAGAAGCAGCGCCAAGGCAGGGATTAGTCAGGTCGACACAGGCTGACTTGGGCCACTTGGGTTTAGGCGAGAGGCTGTATCATGATGGACGACCGAAGCAGTTGCAGATGCGAATGCGGGCTAGCTAGCGGCAGGTCCGGGCCGATCAGATAACGTCCATGAGTGCAGCTCAAAGGAACCCGCATCGAAGGCTGGGAACCCAGGAGCTTGAGGCGTGGACCTCCTTGGCAGGTACAGCATTCGCAGATCACCTAGAATATGCTCATCGCCTCGGAGAAACGTTGGGCTGCTAGCTTCAGCCATCTCAGCAGCTTGGAATCGCTATGCCGCTATGCAGCCCACGCATCAGGCTTGCAAGACTTCGGAAGGCTTTTTGCAGTAGTTCCCAACAGTGAGCTGGCAGACAAGACCATCCGGTCGAGCCAGGACTCATGTGGAAAAGCGAAACTTGTCAGTTTATGTTTCTCACCTGCTGGTCCTTTTGCACAACAAGGAAAAGCGATCAGAGTTCCTCTGCTGCCTAGGGACACTTCAAAGCGCTTACCTGCGCGTCTCGGCCTTTTCCTTGGGTCCCTCGGCCGTGGTCGCGCCGTGGCACAGGGCACTGGAGCTCCTGTTCGCAGCCCAGGCAGACCCGCGGGAAGCTGTTCATCGGCTGGGTTGTAGCCGATGAAAATATTTTGGAGACCTAGCACAAGTCCTTGCAATGCGACGTTTTGGACACTGACTTGCAAGCTTCGCCTAGATCCCTAGATGCGCACCGAGGGTGACAGCCTTTATCAGCCTTTACATGTTAGGTAAAGCTGCAGACTTACCGGTACGATTTTCGGGGGGCACAGCATCTTGGGTGGTTCCACTGAATCGTGAAACGGTGCTGGTTTCTTTAAGGAACTGGACAGATCCTGTGGATGCCAGCCTTGGGCTATGTAGCACAAATTACAATGCTGCTGAGTATCTCGCAGGTCATGTCATCCTTTTGTTATTACTATGCAGCAGCCTGGCGTATGCTGGACGACAGCTTGTACAATTACTACATTTGACAAATTGTCAAACAGGCAAAAAATGCGCCAGGCATTGCGGGTGCGGCTGGACTCCTTGTGCTGGCAAGCAGGACGAGTCTGCACCATGCGCACGGACCTGCAGACAGTGTGAAGTCCAAGCCTTCGCCGTCCCATCCTGACGAGGAGTTATATCTTGCCGCGGCCAGTGGCAGCATGCAGCGCACATGCTTTCCTTGCAGTTGAGGAAGGCTGCATGAGGTTCAGGCCCAACTCTTGAGGCAGGAACGCGGAACCCATGCGACATTGCAATTGGGGGCGGAGAGTTCTGAGTTCTAAAGTTTGGTTGGTCCGCTGTTGCGATGCACTGGCTTCCGCACGGCCACAGCGCACATCCCAGGGAATGTTTTCCGTTCCGCGTTGCATGCCCACCCCAACGAACTCGCTCTACACTGAACGTTAGACCCTCTTGGTGGCACCGCGCTGTTCGGGTAACAAAAGCCGGGCAGAAACTCGTGCTTGCACAGCATTTCGATGTAGTACTGTTGTGCTCGTCGCGCATTGAAATACCTGGTCATAACGAGGTGGTTCTGTCTTTAACATTGCAGGCCGCGAACGAGTTAAACAGAGCAGAGTTTGCAGAACAGTTCTTGTTCGTGTGACTACATGTCGGAGATTAGGCAATTGAACGAGACTTGGCGTATGTGGGACGGCAGGGTATGCTTATACATGTATATATATATATATGTGTATATATATATATATTTATTTATTTATTTATTTATTATTTGTAGACACATGTACATGTTATATATATATATACTATATATACTATATATATATATATATACTATATATATATACTATATATATATATATATGCTAGCCCCACCCCCCTGGACCAACCTTTCATGTGAAATCTTGTGCACTTTCCTAAAATTTACAAAAAATTCTCAAAATTCCAAAATTCCAAAAATTCCAAAAATTCCAAAAATTCCAAAAATTC